CAAAAGCAAATCAAGTATTTCAGTCAAAGAAGAGCAAATATACCTACAGTGTGGGTTTATGATTTTTTTCCATGGTGAAGCCTGGGTGATAGCGACAGTTAGGGATCTATGGTTTTTAAAAAGAGTAGCGGCGACGGTGTCTAGGGTTTTCTTTGACGGTACATTGCTTATTAGAAAAAACTAAGATGAAAACGCTGATGACAAGGTTATGTTTTCTATCATGTTGAAGGGTGAGTGACGACGAAGATGGATGAAAATCAAATTGGATTTCCTTCAAGATTAATATATGTGTGAAAATTGAGAACCAGGTCCTGAGATTGATGATGTTTTTAAAGAGGGTGGAGAGAATAGGGTTTATGGTGAGGGAGGATGGCGGTCTCAAATTTCGGTGATCAGTCGCTAATATCTCGACCACAAATTGGAAAGTCTTATCAGCTACCAGACGAATTTGATTTCAAAATTAAGAGTGGCAATTTCGGAAATTCAGTTAGATGATAGGAGCGGAAAAAATTCGATGGGGGAGGCTTAGAGAATGCCACGTGGCAAAAATCTACTTATTTATTAGATTAGGGGATTAGAACAAACATATAATAATTTAAACTTTATTTGAAATTATATGAACAAACACAAATAATATAACTAAAAATCATTTACATCTTTAATTGCAAACGGTTGTGCCACAAGTGGCCTACAAGAACTTTCCCGGACTATGACTTGCTCCTCCCCTCCCCTCACCAACTCCGACAACTTCACCACAATTTCTCCGGCATCAGGCCGCATCAACGGATCATCATCCACACACCTTCTTGCAAGATTAGCCAACGCGATCGCTACATCAAACGAATAGTTCTCTCCTAAAACATTATCCATCCACTCCCTCAACTTCTCCTCATTATTAGGGGATTTGAGTATAACTTTAATCATTTCCGATAACCGAACGTTTTCTTCGTTATTCTCCGACTTACCCTTCATAATTGGCGGTTTACCGGATAGTATTTCAAGTAAAACAACCCCGTAAGCGTATATATCAGTGTCTGCGGTACTTACACCTGAATATTCATATTCAGGTGCTATATACCCTTTATCCCATGTCATGGGAAAACTAGAACACAGATATCCCGAAGCAGGTACTTCTTCGGGATATATTCCTTCTCCAACACATTCGTCCATGCCAAAGTTACCAACTTTGGCATGAAATTCTTCATCAAGAAAAATATTCCGACTCTTGATGTTTCGATGAACGTAACTAGGGTTAATTATTTGATGCATGTATTGTAAGGCAGTGGCTATATTCAAACAAATCTTTACCCTTTGGTTCCATGTCAAGAAACAAGAACATGAAGCAATGAAATGGCTCTTTATTGCTAAGCCACCATGAATCCAGTCTTTTAATGATCCATTTTTTGCGTATTCAAATACCAAGAACTCACCTGTATCATGGATATCCATACCTGAGGAAACACCGAGTAGCCTCATTATATTGGGGTGAAAACGGGCGGCAGTATGGAAGAGGTCGAACTTGATCTTGGAAATGGTGTCGGGATTTGTGCATTTAATGGCGACATTTTTTCCCTTCATGCGGCCATGATAAACAGATCCCTCGATAAGGTTGGCGGAGGAGAATTCGGCGGTGGCTGAGCTCAGCTCTTCAACGGTGTAACTCTCCACCACCACCGCTGACAGCTTGCCTGGAGTGGTGGGGAGTAAGTGATCATCCAAAGATTCGATCTGGGAAGAGGATTCGAAAGAAACTTTCTTTTCACTTGCAGTTCTTACACTTAAATTCAACTGCTGGAGCTCCAAATCTACACTTTTGTTGCACGATGAACAATTTTGGATTGTCTTCTTCGTTTTCTTCCTCCTGCAAAGGATCACGTAAAATGCAGATACTGCAACTGCTACGCATATAGCGAAAGCAACCACACATACAGCAATATAAACCCGAACTTCCCTCATTTTTGACTCCGAAGACTTCATTTGAAACCCAATGTTGAAAGGAAAGACTTCGGATGGAATAACTGCGTAGGAAATCAATTAAATTTATTTGAAATTGTGAAACTTTGGATCTGATTATATGGAGGAGTGAGTTCTTGGACAAAAAATTTGAACAATACACGTGTAATCTTGAGTGTCGAAAATTCTAATCCCAAGTCTTAGAAAGCCACGAATCCTAGGTTTTCAAGATTGTTTAACTTTTCAAAATTGATTAAACATTAAAAAATTAAGATTGAGATGGAACAGGTTAAATGTATGAGAAGTGGTTCAAAGCATAATTTGATGCATAAATCTTTTTAGAACTCTTTATTCGTATAAAAAAATGCTATTTTGTAATCATACGCTTTTTGGGATTGTGTGCCAGTGAACCTCATTCGATCCAACCAATTTTAACATGAATAAAAAGCTATTTATTTTGATCTCGTATCCAGATTCTGCTTGTAAGATCAAGGCATTTAATAAAAAGCGATGACCAGAACACCCCACATGCATAGCATTTCAATTCAGGAATCCAGGTTGGACTTTGGGACCAAAATTTGATGGGTTAATAATATTAATAGTAATAAGTTAGCTTATGTAGTTTAAAATATAAGTCCAAAAGGAAGAGGATCGAATATTGGAATTGGTTTCAACAGCCCAAAACTAGAAGGGCCAAACTGGGCTAGTGAACAAGGATCCATGTCCAACCAAGGTACAGAGTTGGCAAAATTTTCACAACATTTAAGCTGATGTACCTGCTTAATTAACATAATCATGCAAATCAAGGATGGTTAACAACAAACAGGAAGTTGCTCTTTCAAAAAAAAAAAAAAACAACAAACAGGAAGTTTCTCATCCCAAAAACAAAACCTAAAAACAAAGAAAACTAAAAAGAAATCTAATGGTGCGTTTAGTTGCAGAAAAATAGGCCGTTTTCCGGAAAAATTTTCCAAGAAAAATGAGAATTTTGAAAACGCGTTTAGTTCGTC